GACTCTGTCAATGGGATTTACGAAACAACGTATGATGTTTCACCAATGCCCTCTTACTTGATCTCAAATCGGCCAGAGCTGGTCCCTCTGCCCCACCTCAAAGGAGAGGGAAAGATCATAGATGTCGTCAAGAACAGGAATTACTCAAACCCAAAGCAACACATTGTCTACCGGTTTGGATCTAATGGTCATGAAGGTTGGGAAGCTGGAACTAACCATATGGGAAACTTCCTTTCACGCTCGTCACAAAGTCGAATCATTCTATCTGGGAACCTCAAACGCTACACTATTCAGTCATCAACAACGACAGAGAAAGTGCTTGTCGCACCTCACCTGCACAATTCACAAAAAGGTCTCGTAGTAAGTCACATGAATCTTACTTTGACATCAGTCTCCACGGCACAAGGTTCTTCCGAGTCCATTTCCAACCCAAGGGAAGTTGGTTCATTGGTCTATGAATACGGACATGATGCGCGCACTGGAAAAATGACTAAGGGCAGTAAAGAAAGCTCCTCAAGCAGCTCATCTGAGAGTGATTCGTCTGAAAGTAAGGAAAACAAAATAATGCAGGTAATGTTGTCAGCAAACAAGGGAAAGAAAGGCTCTTCGGAAAAGTGGATGGAAGGATCTTCTTCCTCTTCTAGCTCTGAGGGCTCATCGATTAGCTCTAGTGAAGAATACCTGCCCAGTCACCCGGAATCTATCAATCATGCACCAATTCATGAATTCCTTCTTGAAGGTATGCTTTCTTGGGGATCACAGAAAATTAATTTGGCCCAAGAGATGAAACGTGTTGCCCGCGAAGTTGGACAGTGGATTCAAAGACCTGGAGATGTTCCAGATGAAAACATACTGGCTAACTTCAGAATTCTTTCACGTTTGGTCGGAAGAGCCAGCAGTGAGGAATTGAATCAAGCGACCCAGGCCCTTTACAGCGCCCAACCTCCATACGAACAGATTAAAGAGAACCGCGGAGAATCCAATAAATATAATGCATGGGTTGCATTCCGTGATGCAGTCGCTGAAGCCGGAACTGGACCCGCATTGGTGACAATTCGTCAATGGGTAGAGTCTGAAAAAGTAAAGGGAGAAGAAGCCGCTGAACTTATCGCCGCTTTGCCGTACACTGCACGTTACCCTAACAAAGAATACATGGACTACTTTTTTGACTTCATCAAGACCGATAAAGTAAAAAATAAACAGAATCTCAACTCCAGTGCACTCATTGCATTCAGCTCATTGGTTAGGAAATCCCAAGTGGACACAAAAGTCTCCCATAACCGATACTCTCTTCACCTGAGTGAAGGAAAGCCGGAGCACAGTCAAGCTGTAGAACAACAATACATTCCATACATGGAAAAACAATTGCAGCAGGCCATTAAAAACGGCGACTCCATTAAGATCCAGCAATACATCCGTGCCATTGGTAACACTGCACATCCCAAGATCATGGCAGTCTTCGAGCCGTATCTCGAAGGCAAGCAACAAATCTCTAACTTCCAGAGACTCACCATTATTGCATCGTTTGATGAGTTGACAAGGACTAATCCTAAACTTGCCCGAAATGTACTGTACAGGATTTATCAGAATACAGCAGAGGCGCCCGAAATACGTGTTGCAGCGGTTATGCAGATTATGAAAACCAATCCTCCAGCCCAGATGCTCCAGCGTATGGCTGAGTTCACAAACTATGATCACAGTCATCAGGTCAGCGCTA